TAATTCCAACGGTGCTTCTTATAAGAATGATGGAACGCAAGTGGACATAAGTACTCGTTCCCGTGACGAAGTCACTGGGGCCGGCGTAGGGCCTTTGACGGTCGATGATTTACAAAATGCGAGGAAACAACTTATTCGTTACGTACAACAGGAAGCCTTTCCCGATGAAATTACCCGTCTTAAACGCAGATCGAGCGGTCAATGTACATCTAAAATTGTGAAGAAATCCAGCAAACTGGCAGTATTATCACCTTTCCTCGCAGACGACGGTCTATTAAGAGTTGGTGGCCGATTGGATAGAGCATCAATAAGTTTTGACGCCAAGCATCCCGCGATCATTCCAGGCAAGCACCACATTGTAGAACTGTTGATACGGCACTATCATGAGCAAGAAGGACACTCGGGCGTTCGTACTGTTTTATCGGCTATTCAGCGTGAATTTTGGATTCTCCAAGGGCGTTCCAGGATTCGATGGATCATTGGCAAATGTGTTCAATGCCGCAAGAAATACGCGTCGCCCTGTGAACAGATAATGGCTCCTTTACCAGCAGCTCGTGTAACTGTTCCAGATTACCCATTTGCGTCAACGGGAGTCGATTACTTTGGTCCTTTGATGGTGAAGAGAGGTCGAAGTCAAGTCAAGAGATACGGATGCATCTTCACTTGTTTGGCCATGCGGGCAGCTCACATAGAAGTCGCACATTCTCTCGATGCAGAATCGTTTCTCTGTGCATTCAGTCGCTTCACAGCCCGTCGAGGGGTTCCGAAGGAAATCTTTAGTGACAATGGAACCAATTTCATTGGAGCGTCAAGAATCTTGAAGGAAGAGTTCAAGAATATTCAGTCAGTGGAGTCTCAAGCCAAGATCAACGATCGTTTACGAATGAAAGAAATCACGTGGCATTTCAACCCTCCCTTGGCAAGTCACACTGGTGGAGTGTGGGAGCGCATGATTCGATCAATCCGAAGAATATTAACTGCACTGACAAGCGGGCAGGTTATTGATGACGAAGCACTTCTCACGTTCTTAGTCGAGGTGGAAAGAATTCTCAACGATCGCCCCCTGAATCGTAACCAAGGTCAAGTATGTGATTTGGACCCACTAACTCCAAGCAAGTTGCTTCTCTTGAGATCGAACTCGTGTCTTCCTACAGGCGTGTTCGTTGGTGAAGATCGTTATAGCAAGCGATGGCGACAAGCTCAATTTTTAGCTAACACATTTTGGAAACGATGGTTGGGTGAATACCTACCTAGTCTGCAGCAGCGCCAGAAGTGGCTGAAACCCAGAAGGAACTTAAAGGTCAAAGATTTGGTGTTAATGGTGGATAAGAGATGTTCACGAGGACAGTGGCCTATGGCAGTGGTCGAGGAAGTTTTTGCAGATAAGGACGGAATGGTGCGTCAAGTTATGATTAGATCGAATGGCGGGAAATTTAAGAGACATGTCCGTGAACTGTGCCTAGTCGAAGAAGCGAAAGAAGTCGATGAATAGTCGCAAGGTCTGGTATATACAAACGTTTATATATTTGTTGTTGTTAAACGAAGCCAATCGAACTCGTACTTTGTTCCAGTTACTGGGCGTAGATCCTTGTGTTTTGGTATATCGACTATGTTTATACTCGATAGGGGCCGGTTTGTAGGATCTAACCCGAAAAGTAGGGCCTAATCGCCTGCGAGCAGGCAGGACATCACGTGATAAAAACACATGTTGGTTTTATATTTTTTGATTGTTTGTTCGGATTACGAAGGGCAAAAGTCAGGTACATTTGCATGTTTTTGGTCCTGTTTTCTATGTATTTGTAAAGTAATTTGTTTCTTGTAGCGTAGTTTATAATGTATTTGTATTGTTTCTATAGAAACCACCTTTAAAGCGATGTTTTGTACGAAAATATATTGATATATGAATTTAATATGGATTCAATTTATATATACGTGGTGCGTTTCGGATAATTCCTTTCAAGAACAACAGCTCGTGCATGTTAATCCAAATCGCACTTGAAACCGTGCTATACCTATACTTATCACGATCCACCAAGTCGTGGCGCATGCTCAATGCAAAAATAACGCCTAATAAAATAATTTTATTCTCGTTTTTAGCAACTTACACCAAAGTCTAAGGCAAAGTACCTAGCTTTTAGTCCTGGAAAAAGAATGGCATGCGAATGGGTTAGTCCATTTGATGCGCCCCTTACTTATAAGTATAGAATTATTAGAACAAATACAACATTTAAATGTGTGTTTGCGTAAACATTTCGTGCACACATTTCAGCAAAATTATCTGCATGTATCTTACCATTTTGAATTTTGCTGTCCCGGGCATGTTGCAGCAAAAAATTTCAGAATGACATGTAAAAAACTTATTACAAGATCTTGTTTATGACCTTTTTCTGGCCTTTCAAACAATGCCGATGGTCAGTTTTAGGTAAGAATCGTTATTTGTTCCGCTATGTAACAAATGGTCAATGCCAATGGTATTATAGTTAAGAGCTGTACTCTGGCAGGCAAAAAGATAAAATTACTAACAAAAACGTCCCGTTCTGTATGTAGTAAATCATTAATTTACTTATTAATAATTTAAGCCCAGATTATTTTTCTACATTTTTTCCTATAGGGAATGAACTTGCAAAATCGCCTGAAGGTTTTCAAAATTCAGGAAGAGACCGGTACGTATGGATATTTCATTCCGCGTATAAACCAAAGGATCAGACCCAGTCTCGGGTTGTGTTAATTAAATTTTTATCGAGTAACTTTTGCTGCCTCAAAACAGAGTTAGGGCTTTACAATCATGATACAATAGCACAAGCAATGTATTTATAATCTTAATTTAGCAAAAAAAAAATAATTAGAGATCTGTGATGGAAGGCCTGATCAGTACTGTGCGCCGGTGTTTTGGCCTATTTTGCCAGAGCTGGAGTTTCAACTCCTGCACCACTTTATTTTCCCGCGCGTGCGTCACGCAACCGCTTAGCACATCGAAGCGCCTGGGACGAGGCTGGCACTTACACATTTTCTTCTTTTAGGTAAAGACACCAACGACGATAGACGCATCGAAACACAGCCAATAGGTGCTGGTAAGGGCAATGATACTGTACACTGTATTTATATGCATCGCCTACACATGGTCCCTATAAACTGTGTATTGATTTTATTAGATAAAGAAACGAACGAAAATGAAAAAAGGTGTGAAACACCAACTGCAGGTGGTAATTATACCATTGTATATTAAATCATTGATTAAATCATTGACATTGCTGTTTAAATATTTGTCGTCCAACACAGTAAATTAACTCATAGCTCTAATTTATATTATATTTTTTGCCATAGACATCATAAAATCTATTAAAAGGAAATTTGAATTACTACATAATGTCTACCTTGCTTGTGAAATCGTTTTAATTAGATTTGATTATAAACAAGATGGTGGATAACGGAGTCTTTTATCTCAAGATTAAGAAAGCTAGCTAAGATTTGTAAAAGAGCTTTACAAATACACTCCGTGCTCCTTCACTAATGTAAATACTAATCATTAACAGCTGAAAAAGTGAAGAAGTGTTCCCTCCAGTTTGACGACGAGGCAGTTGGCGAATGCTCATCTCCTACAGAAGGTATGCCAAAATGCGACTGGGGCTGTCTCTGCATGTGCATTGTAATGGTCTTTTTGAGATAAGAGAACACAATAATTGAATTTTAAGTCAACAATTGTATTTATAATTATTTGAAGGCGCCAAGAAGAAACCCGGTGTTTCAAACAGCATCACATTCGTCGAAGGTGCAGTTGGAGTTTGCTCTGGCATCGCAGGTACCACGAACAGTATTTTAAATATATCGCTTGGATTTTGGATTTTCAACAAATCAACAATTCACTTTTTCTACCCTAAAGACATGTGTAGCAACACGTGACCAAAAAATGTAAACAAATGCCAAAAGTTCGGACACGCTTAATTGTTCGAACATACAATCAATTGTATGTTCGAACAAAAGCTTGTCCGAACTTTTGGCATTCGTTTACATTTTTTGGTCACGTGTTGCAACATGTGTCTTTAGGGTCGACAAGGCGAATTGTGTTTCATAATTTCTTACAGGTATCAAGAGGAAAGTAAATGGTGCAGCACTTAGCTCCGGCTCCACAGGTAGTACCACGACCATTGTTTTATTCTATCGACGATCTTTCCATTATTATTATTACGACATTATTATTATTATTATTATTATTATTATTACTACTACTACTACTACTACTACTACTACTACTACTACTACTACTATTATTTTTACTACTACTATTATTTTACTACTACTATTATTTTTACTACTACTATTATTTTTACTATTATTATTATTTTTACTATTACTATAAGGGCTTCGGTGCGCTAGTTGTCAGAGCAAGCGCATTTCAGCTCTGAGCTTGTGGATTCGATTCTCGCTATGGACTCACATGAAAAGAGTCTGTCAACACCCGGCCGACAGTCGTTTTTTTTTCTGAGTTTTTCCTGGGCGGTCCGGTTTCCTCCCACAGGGAAAGTTGACAGGGTCGGTCAGAAAGTAATATCACAAATGTTGTAAATTAGATAAATAGTCTAGGTTAAGTAACATAAGTAAGCGTAATACTTTATGCAATCGGTCGCTGAAAAGCCCCAGTTGGAAGTGAGCTAAATAGTCACGTAATGAAATTATAATAGGGTAAATTTCTAATTAATGTTCTTCATATGTGAAACTTTACATGTTCTTGATTTTAAATATGGCAGGTACACGGAAATCAACAAAAGATAAACAGAGCAAGTGTTTCGTATGCGACCTAGAGTTTTCTAAAGAAAACAAAGGAACCAAACAGGAATGGTTGTTTTGTGACGAATGCAACGAATGGTTTCACTTGTATGTATTGAACTTCTACTAAAATTTAATTTCATCTTTTTCGTAAATAATTATACACGCCTTACCGAATACCAGGATAAAATATACCTATCCCGAAATAATAAAGAAACAGTATCTAAACGTTTTCAGTAAAAAAGCCATCAACTTTAGGGTTAGGATTAACGTTTGGATTAGGGTTATTGTAGTTGTAGACCATTACAACCCAATACTTTATTGCATACAAAGGCATTACGACGGCAATAGATTATTGGTTACAAGTGCGGAATGGCTGGTTGACAAGTGTAAGATTTTGGGCCGCACAACATTGTTCAATCTTGTTACTGCGTTATATTGGCGTAAAGTAGACATCCAGAAACAAATGACGCCAAAGATAACAAAACACATTGTGTTAATCTACCCACGTTATTGTTACTTCTATGATTCGTTGAAGACTAAATGTCTAGAGGCAAAGCTGTATGATATTTCTATAGAGTCAAACAACAGGTGCTATTAAATAAAATTGTTTTCCCAATGCATTTTAGGGAATGTTCCGGGCAAACTACGTTGCCCGACGAAGATGAAGAGTGGTTCTGCACGACATGTTCATGATCAGATGTTGCGGTGACTCTTGTAAGACATGCATTTTAAAATTATATTTACTCGTCGTTATACCATGGATAATAAAATAAATGGATATAGGACTCTAGCTGACGTAAGCAAAAACAACCTAGTTACAATCTGTGACGTCACGCGTATTGCAAAGTTCTCGGCATTTTTGTTGTTTCGCTATACTTTCCGTTTTAAAAGAGTAATATTGAAGCATACACTGGTCTAATTGTTTTAAAAACATGCCTAAGCCACGACAAAGCTACGAAATTGGCGTTCCCAATTTTAACGAAATTTGGGACGCCTTTTTCACTGTTTAGTGCTTGAAATATTTGCTAAAATTGACTGGGAATACTTAGAGATTTCATCGTAGAATGGCGTAGTTATATTCATTTGCTCTAAAATGTTTAGCTGTATTATTGCTAAACATGCCGGTTTTGAGAATTTGGTTTACAACTAGGTTTCAACATCCAATCACGCCATCAGCCCATTGAAAACATTAGATCACGTCAGCTAGTTTCCTATCCATTTATTCTATTATCCATGGTTATACACAGGTGCGGGACGTGTTTTAAAACTAGAAGTTAAATTCCTTTTGATATGTTAATGCGGAAAATTTCGCGCGAAAACAAATTTGTGCGAAAATTTTCTCTCGCAGTGATTTCCACAGTAGAGAAAAAATTCGCCGAAACACAAGCATTTCATTGGTTTCGCTATTCTGTCATTCAAAACACAAGTATTTGATTGGCTTCGCTATCTCCATTTCGCAACGGAGTAGAAACGTATTTAACTACCCGGCAAAGAAAAATATTTCGCAGAGAAACACCCTGAAATGATGTGTGCGCAACTATTTCGCGCGAAATTTTTCGCATTTCGCTCGTCGTGGAATTAGGCCTTTTTGTTCTTATAGTGGCAATGTGGTATTAAACATTTGATCGTTTGTAACTATAGGAATTATAATCCATTTTTTCCAATTCCATTGAGTCACGTTTGTTTTGATTGAATATTGAATCTGTAATAAATATCTCTTACAATCTCCTGTCCTTTGTTCAGAGACTTTTTCAAGTCCCGAATTTGCCTCTGAACAATCTGTTCATTGTTATAGTAGTCCATCAGATAATTGTACAAGAAATGAACTGAGAATGACTGCATTGTAGAACTTCTCAATCTCAAAAAATTTTTGCGATGGTTTTCGCTCTCCTGATAACTGGTCTTCAATGATGTCGCTTGCTCGCACAATTCGATGTCGTGGTACGCACATAATGGCGATTTGTGAGGATCCGTCTTTGTATGAAATCTATCACCGACAACATACCTGCGCTTTCCTGAGATTGGATGGTGAAACTCCTTAATCTGATCAGGGTTATCCAATACCATATCATGTGGTCTAAATTCAATCGGAACTATGTCTGGTACACTGACCTAGAAATAACAGTACATATAAACTAGTAATACTACATGTCGAGTAAAATGTAATACTATATGTCGAGTAAATAAAGGAATACCGAATGGTTTTCCGTGAAGGATTGCGTGATCCATGCACGCGGGATGTTGCGAGACCTTCGGAAAGCGTGAAAATACAGGAGCCGTAGGTGAGTGTATTTTTACGCTTTCCGAAAGTCGAGCAACATCCCAAGTGCATGGATCATGCTATATGAAAATATACAGCGAAAATACAGGGACTTTTTCGATAAAATATACGAAATTTGAAATGGAAAACCTGCTAAACAGAGAGCCAAAGTAGTTTTGAAGATTCTCGACCTGAATATGTGAAGATTGCAAAGCGTTTGATCAACTTTGAAGCGAGAGATGTTGTACTTGCATGCCATGGTCTCAAGAATTTCAACGCTGCGCGTTGCTACTTGCTGAATAACAATGTATCGATCAGAAATTTATTCATACAACTAAACCAACGTCTCAATAATTGGAAACTTACTTCAAAGTCGAAAGGTATCGTACAATGAAACTTTACAATGCGAGTATATTTGTAAAATTATGTGCAAGAATTTCTGTTCAGAATTTTCCGTGCAGGATTGTCTGATCCTGCACGGCTGTTGACCAATCAAATTGCGTGTTTCACTGTAGTTAATAAAATGTATGTGTTTCACTGTAGTTATTATATAAAATGTAATACTACACGTCGAGTAAAATGGATTCCGCCTATTAATGGCAAAATTTCGATAAAAATACACTTTTTACATTGCACAAATTTAAGTACTTCCAAACTCCTTTCAGTTCTAAAAAAGTATAGATGAATTTAGAAAGTATATCCAATGCCATCCAATGCCTACATGCATACATATAGTTTTAATTTTAAGAATTTAGCATTAATTGTTGGTGTTTCAAACGAGCTTGTCAATGTACAGTATGTATATTTAGGCATTATATGTATGCATATTTAGGTGGCTAGTCGCCACCCTTAGGTAATTAATATACATTTGACGTAGCCGCCCTAACAATTTATTCGCTGGGCTGCACGTGATTCGCTTCCCTCACGCCGCCATTTTTGGGTACTTTTTTGCCAACCCTGCCAGCGTAACACCACGTAATGGCAACATTTTATAATTTTATGGGTGTATGATGGTAAATTTACTCTAACTAGTTTGTTCTGAAATATTGCTTTCCACAATCTTATAATTGTTTACGAAAAATTACAGTACTCCAAAAATGGCGGCGTGAGAAAGGATAGATTAAGAATACTTACAGTACTTGGTTGTCTGTTAAGTTGCGGCTTCTCAAAGCAACCTGCATTGTCACCCCAAAACGAGTCAGCGATAGCTGCACATCTGAGATCCATGTGCCTGGCTAATCCGCAAGGTGTGTCACAAATAAATAAGGTTGGCGGATATTTCAATGACAAAAATAAGTCTGCTGCATCTCGTACAGACTCCTGGAGCAGCAAGAATTTGGAAGCAACAGTGCACTATAAAAGTAGTCAAAAAAGGAATATAAATTCTCCATGCCCATGCGTATGAAATTTGAATTGAAAGAGGAGCTGATCCTTTGTCAAATTGATTGAACATGGCGACAATGACGCAACATGCACACAAAGAATAATGTGCACATGTATTACTATGATTACACAATCCTAAGCACACTCTTGATGCTCCTATCTGGAATCATACTTACACCATGACGGCAAACAAAATGGTAGAATCCGCCAGTGTGACCCTTCACTTTTCCAAATCCGTGACACGGTGAATTGCCATGTAGCAGCTCTCCATATAGAGAGTGCAACTCCGCAATGATGAACGACTGAAAAGAAAATTTAAATAAGTCAATTATACGTATTATTGATATTTAACAAATATAAAAATTTTCCGTGTTGATATATAGTTATATCAACACAAGTGGATATTGGGAAAACGAGAAATTGTGTGGAAACACGACTCCCGAAGGGCGGAGTGTTTTCCAGTTTTCCCAACTTCCACGAGTGTTGATATAACTATATATCAATACGGAAAAATGTTTAATGTTTTATATTTTATATATATTTTATATATATATATATATATATATATATATATATATATTAATAAAATGTCTTAGTTACCTTTGTTGAATTACTAGGGAGATCTATTTTGCATTGCTCTGCCAGAGATTTTAGAGCTTGCAAGTCGTATGTATCAAGGTCACCCATTCTCAACTTCTTCTCGACAATGTAATGATGAAGCATAGACGAGTCTTCTACAAAATGTAAGTTTTTTATATATTTAAATGAACAGTGTCACCATCTAAATTGTCGGGAAATGCTTCAGGTGTTGTGGTGTCGTCCATGGGCGTACCGGAAGGAAAAAAATAGGGGGCGGAAAGAAATTTGCCCGACTTTTCGGGATTGTGCCCGACTAGTACCAAAAAAATTTTTTCCGGAAAAATTATTTCGGCGACCTCCCCCCCCTGTCGCCAAAACATTTAAGGTCATTGTACCATTTTAGGGGTCAAAAAAATTTTCAGCCCCCCCGCCCGGTACGCCTATGGTGTCGTCTTTGCGTGTGGGGATGATGCATATGTCTGGTGATAAAACTGATTTTCAAACTTTTTGGATTTCAAACTTGAAAAATTTTGAAAATCCAACAAATACTATTGTTGGTTGCGAAGCATTAAATCACTCGAGAACAGATTACCAATTTAATATGCACAATATTTCCATTGTCATTGGAGAACAGACCCTGCAGTGTGTACTATACACTAGTATGTAGACTTGATGATGGCGATGCATGTTCCACTGTGCAATTTGTCTCGCAACTTGTGTGACTTGTGAAACAAAATTGTGAGACAGGTTGCACAGTGTAACAGTGCCTTGTTTTTTTATTATAATTTGCATAACACTGCTTACGGACCAATGAATACTTACTTGTAGTAGTTATTTTCTGATTAAGATAGATACTTTTTTTCTCCATCTCGGTGTTGTACACTTCCGGACCTCTCATGGCTGGAGCTATTATTGGAGGAACATCAACTGCATCTACATCTCTACGTCCAGTACCCAGATCATTACTAAAAATGACTTTCTCGATCCAGTCTCTCTTCAGACTGGAAAGGAAATCCTCAAGAGGTACAGGACTGTTTTTGGATGACTTTACATTGTTCACCTATGGAAATGGTAAACAAAACAGCCACATAATATACAAGCTGATGATGCGACAAAATGAGAAGTATTTGATGTCCATCTTAGGCACCTGTTATGTGCTACCTGGATTCACATCTGAGTGACATAAAATTTTACAGTTTCAAGATTTTCAATGCAAGTTTAGCACTTAAAATTATGATAACTTAATTTAACTCTTTAATAACAAGTTAAGAAATTAATTAAGCATTAGTTCAAAAAGTATACCCCTGTTAGAGAACAACAATTCTTTTGATTACCATCCCCAAGGTAACATTGTCCAATTACACCACACACTCCACAAATTACATTGTTTAAACAACGCTCGGTGATTATCTCAAAGCAGTAAAACCCATTATAAAGAAGATTTTGTAAGTACTTGAGCTGACCATCTGATAACCGCTGATCCTGTTGAAAGAGGAATGAAGAATAAAGAATGTGTTTTTTCTAACTATAATAAAATAACAGCTGTATTGTAACAATTTTATGACAAACGCGAAGTGCTCCCAGTGACCACACTCAGTAGATAACCTAGCTACAGCAACAAGCTTGAACTATATTTCAAATTTGATACTCGATGGTTTCTTTATAATCACTACAAGCTGACAGTGGACGACTTGATAGCAGTCTGACCTCACATTAGACAGTGGTATTTGCATTTAACGTTGCACACAAGAAACTGACCATGCAAAATATTAACTCATTAATGATATATTAACTCGTTAATAACTGGCAATGCGTCGTACATTAGTATTTACTCTGTCTAATGCCAGACAATTTTTCTTTTCAGTGGTAGAGTACAGCCAATAAATGGGCTAAACCTGAATTGTTTGGTTTGTCTATTGTGCATAAAGGCCGTAAAAGATGGAACTAAACCGCTAGTTTTAATTTTATGTCCTTGTTTAGTATCTAGGAGTTCACATTGCCTACTGAAATAATCCTAATAATGTAAACTGTCATTGTACCTCCATCAGATGTTTGCTTAATGCTTCAACCTTGCTTTCTATTGCTGACGATATTGGCACTCCCCTCTTAAAATATTCTCTCCATTCAAGCAAAATTTCAAATGCCACAAGCACTTTGTCACACACATTAAATAGACCTACAGCAAAAAAATTAACATTAGGAAGGAAGAACAAAGTGCTGTGGTGCACCAAACAAATGACTAATATATAGGCACATTAAATTTAACCTCATTGATCTAAATTTAAACTCATTTAACACATTGATCCTCTCACAACTTTGATTTCTTCTAATTCACATATTCTTTTATGTGCATCTCGACATGTATTTCTAAACAATACATGTCATATAAAATCCTAGCTTCATGACAGGGCTTAACAACTATTATTAAAGGTCATTGGCTTAGAGTGGATTGATATACTCGATATATCCGGTATACAGGTATTTGTTTAGATACCGGTATTGGCAATATTGACAATTCAAAAATACTGAATAGTGATATAACAACATTTTTGTATTTTGCTGCTTAATACCTAAAATTTGCTTACAATCATATTCAGAAACCGAAGTTAACACTCACAGATGGACGATTTCGTTCTTGCAAGGTTTGGTTTAGCAATACAAAAATGTCTTGTTTATAAATCACCTTAATTGGAAATATATAAATGGCAAAATTTTTTACTGTCGTTCCAATTGAAGTGTTCCTCAAATATTCATTCAATACATTACCTTGGACTGACCAATTCATTTGATCAAGTTCCTTGAGGTATTCATACACTTCCTAGTATAATTATAAACTTCCTGTTGAATAGTTTGAATGCAACAATCACCTTTGTTTGTGCAATTATCCAATCATAAATAGAAAGGAAGTGACAAGAAATGATCAAATTTTTGGAATTGGCTTTTTCACAGGAAGTGTATGAATATCTTGAGGAACTTGATGAAATGAATTGGTCAGCCTGAGGTAATGTATTGGATCAATATTTGAGGAATACTTCAATTGGAACGTCAGTAAGAAAACTATCAGTAAAAAAGAAACCTTTGATTTTGGAAAGTTGAAGTACTAGCATTTGCAACCTTTCAAGTTTTTTTAAAAATATTTATCGGGCAGTAATTTTTTTCGGTATACCGATACCGGAAATTTCTCATACCGAACATTCCTAGTTTGTGCCAAAACTATTTTGTCAAAACTTAATTTTTCTCGACGTTCAGCAGTTCAGTTTGGCTCAACAAAAACATTAAAAATACCGATATAGTATGCCAGTATTGACTGGTATTCTGATGGTGGTGTATCGGTATTCAGTATTTTGCAATATTGATGCACTCTACCTTGGCTAAAATCAAAAGACTCTAACTTAGTTTAACGTACAGGCTATCTCTTGGCATAGATATTGATTATATCCTTTTCTCAACAAAACATAGTGTGTTGGCTACAGTAAATAACAATTTGCTGGAAAAAAATTACAGAAAGCAGTCCACTCACCAAATTTGTAAGGCCATACTTGATGCATAACTTTACAGTTTTTGTTTGTACATATCTTTACATAAATTTCAACGGCATAAAAGGGGTTGCTATTCGTTAAAATGTAGCTCTTTCCACTACTTCCAGGATGTCGACGTGGTCTCCCAAGATTACACTCACATGCTCTACAAATGTTTTCATCTGGTTGAAATATCAGTGGCCAAGTTCCCTATCAGTAAAAATTGGCAATGGTTTGTTTTTCATTTGAGATAACAAACATATATGTTTACTTTTCAATTTGATAGATACTTGATTATTTTAATAAAACTAATCATTCATATGGTACATTAATTACAATTATTGTAGTCAATATACTGTAGATGCATGACATTAGACACAAGCACTCACTGTTTGATGAATAAAGACCTAGCACATAATATTAACAGGTATCAATATAGAATACTTTTTGTGTGTGTTGGTGTTATATATGTACTCAGGTAAATATGATATTTCTGATGTTACTATGAGTATGCCCACAGCAGGCAAGAACTGAGCCACAAAGTCGGATGGAGTTGGTGATATTTTGGAACTGAGTCTAGTTCCTGTGATATCAATTATTCATCTGAGTACATCACACCAACACACACAAAAAGTCGTATCGTAGAATAGATTGATGTGGAAGGAATTACTGTAGATTCGGTTCAAAAATATCATCATGTGTGGATGCACACTCGGAGTAACACCACAACCATCAATTTATTAATTGAAGTACAATATTTAGAGTCAAGGTGGAGCAATAAAATTACTGCAACTTGCAACAAAATCTGATTTCTATGCATGTTAATACTATTATGCAACAATAAATCACAAGCCATGGCTAAGTGTTTAACCAGCTTTTTGAGTGTATTTAAAAAACTACATATGCTAACAAAATTATAAAGATGAAATTACCTCCTTAGCATTTAACACTGTTGCTGCATCCATCTGTTTTGCTGCTTTCAAAATCTCAAAAGGGATGATGGAAGGAAGTGACCTATCCATGTTTGCCTGAATAGTAGATAAACGCCCTATACTCGGGTGATCTGCAGACAAGGAACTTGGATCGACTTGATCAGCAGACAAACTACTTGTGCAATCAAAAGTGGATGATGCTGCTTTCGATGTAGGCAAGTTGTTTGTATCTTCAGTTAAGAATGTTAATGTTTGTGGTGACACACTTGATGAAGGTAAGTTTCTCAAATTTAGGGTGCAAAACAATACATGTTGATGCACACACAATTTGCTAACTTTCTGTTGTTTGCCAGCTCCTGAAATTACTTTGCAATTTTTTGATGTGCATCTGTATCTCTCTTCATTTTTATGTACATGAACATAACCGAGTGGTGAGGTAGAGCTAGGGGGACCATAAACAACAAATGATCTATCACCAGCTTGGACAACTGCTGGGATTTCTTCCAATAATGGTAAGAGTGAATAAAGTATTTCCTTGGTGTTGCTATCAGCAGGGTAACCTTCTATCAATTCCCTTGTTAAGACTGACTCCAGACCATGCTCCACAGTGGTTTGTGCCAATTTAATATGTTCACAAGTAAACTGGGATACTTGTGAACTTGCTATTGCAATTCCCCTATTTGTTTTGCACTTATCTTGATGGCACAACTTTGTTTCTTCGTCCACAATCACAAAGCATCGGTCACCTCTAGTGCTTGTTTTCACTGAAAACAAGTTCTTTCCAACAAGCACACATTCCGAGTGAATAAGTTTGGCCTTTTTGGGTTTTGGAACATAATTGCCACCAATCTCAAACTTGCATGATGGACAATTCTTTGGTTTCCAGAAATTGCTGTAGACATATGGACATGATGGGCATTTGGTTTTACATCTTCTTGTCGCATTTCCAAGATCAAACTAGAGCAAAAATCAAACTTCGTAAGATCTCTTTTTGAAAATGATGGACATTGGTATAAAAGGGCAGGTAATCGAGTGATTTAATATACAGTGATCGAGTGAAACACGCGTTGAAAATGCATGACATGTATTTCAAAACATTACACTGTGAGATCTATATTAAAAGTATAAAGTTATAAACAAAGCAAAGCAACAGTAAAATATAATTTACCTCCATTTAAGTGTTTCCTATTCCATGATGAGTTTCCAATACTACCTTACTTTACTGCTTTTACTTTACTGCTTTTCTCGAAGTAAATATAAATTTCTTTCAACACATACAGACAGTAACTTCTCAATTTTTTCTGCGGGCTTTCTGCATGTGTTCCTCGCCGCGCTGCATTTGTTGTCGCCTGGAGAATGGGGACAACTCATTATTGCAATACGATTGGTCACTACCTTCACTACCTTGGAAGGCAATTAGCCAATCATAAGCTTCGATCATATAGCTAGGTCTTTACTGCGTTTGTTTGCTTCTTGACATATCTGGCTAACTGGTATTTCAGCGAATTGTCGTTAGGGTTTGTAAGGGATATATGGCGTAGATTTAGACATCTTACATGTAAGTCTTAGCTCATTGTTTCCTGAAACATGGACGTTCAAAATTATGAAAGTATTTAATAGGTCTTTGGCTTTGCAAACTTAAAGTTACATGAAAGACCTTGAAGGCAGGCGCTTAAATTTTTAAATAGCTTAATTTTTTTATGTTTTACATGGATTCAAAACAAAGTTGATTATTTCTCGGTTAGAGCAGGATGAATATTATTATTTAATGAAGGATATGATATTGCTTTTTGCAAATACACATCACAGTGTCAACGCTACTATTTTGTTACGTTTTGTTCCAAAAATGTTGGATGTCTCTGGGGAATTGCTTGTTATGCCTTTAATTATGGAGTTGTATGGTTTGATCGTGTTTCATTCTCAGTTTATTCTGAACTTGCCAAGATTAAAAAAGGCAAAAGAGTTTGGGTGTTCTTAACAAGATTTCAGAACGTTGAAGAAGTTAGAAAATTCATTCAATGTGAAGTTAGAAAATCCACAATTCCATTGTGATAGCATGCCCTAATTCAGAACTACGAACGATCCATGACGATCCTTCGCGATGCAGTGGTCTCATGAAATAAGGAAACGTATTCGTGCTGGGAACACATGCGGATTTCGGACGAATAAGTCTTGCTTTTATTTTGTAGATAATAATACTTTGTTTCATAATAAACGATTTGTCAAGTGCCATTTATTTACTGGTAATAGTGCATGTTTCTGTCGGGCAAATCCTGATTAATATTTGATACGCCGTTTTTCCATATTTCAGACACATCCAGAAATATGCTCCCGATTTTAAACATTAATATCTCTGTGAATTTTTAAGTGAAATACAACTGTGATATATCAAAATCTAAGTTAGTCCTTCCTCTATTTGATGCAAGTTAATTTTCATTAAAAGCTTTACTTGTTTAGAAGTTATCACGAATCAAACCGGAGTACTTTTTTTTGGGACACCCGGTAGTATAGTACAGTATAGTATAGTATAGTTTAGCATAGTATAAGCAAAATTTGCGACTTACCACTCACAAAGTTTTGCAGTTTCATGCAAACGCTTCAATATCTCGTCTTTAATGATCTCGTTCGCCCTCATGTCCACTCCTCATCAGCGACAGGATCATCAACCCAAGCATAGCTGCATGGGCATGATATAAAGGCATCATCATCGCTTGAAACCAGATATATCGGCTTCTATTAAAGCCTTCTGTCTCTACATTTTGTCATATTCTGATAAATAATCGTTCACTGATGCGAACGAAGAAGCCTCTGAAGATGCACCCGTCGAAGACATTGCAAAAAGATATAAAAAACCGCGAATTATTCTTCGAAATTAAAGCTTCTTTGTAATGGTAAATGTATAGTGTTTACAAGGAGGCTTCGCATGAGTTCACCAATTGACGTCACACATTCCTCTCTCACCAGTCTCCCAAAACTCGGTCGTGGAACAAATGTGTGCAAACTTTGAGAAGCCATAGAATTGCGAGAATTCAACCGATTAAAAAAAATTTTCCAGTTTTGTACTCCATAAATAGCGGTTATTTATTATATGAAAAAAAAATTTAGGGGGTTAGTGGCACTTAACTCGACGTATGCAAGTTGTTTAGAGAAATTTCGAAGCAGTAGAGACTCGGCGATTGTGTTTTATAATTAAAGCTAGATTACAGTCCCTTCTGCGCATGTGTCAAAAATGTAAACAAATGTGAGCACACTTGTTTTGATTTTGTGTGCTCCCCAGTCCTTATTCGGATATGCGCGCTCAAAATGGCCGACTCGCAAAGAGTTCTATAATAGAGCCGTCCACTTCAAAGACAAATCCTTCTAATGCTGGTCGCCAAAACCAACCAGGAAATCGAAAAAAAAACATTTCGCGAAAAGGTATGCAACGAAAATGTACTTTAATGATGCTATTGGTCGGTGAAATCATTTCAAAACTGAAGCTGGAATCAAAAGTGACGAGCGTTCGCGAATACTCTGCTGATCGAGCCTGATACGAAACATCAAGACGGATTTAATTGTGGTAAGCACATAACACATATCCCTGGATATTTCAGTTATGTTAATGCTGTTATATTTCCTCATTACAAAACTTTATTGTGCACTTATAGCGCTGTGGAAACCCAGACGGATCAGCAGCCAGATGAAACAATACAATGCAGACATGAGCCATTGCCAGTATATGTTCAGCAAGGGGAAACAGCAATGGAGCCACATAAAGATTCTTAAAGATTCTCCTAAACAGTACAAATACATCCTACAACTTATAATTAAGGTATGTATAACATTTTATGCTTTCCTGAATCCTAGTGAGAAAAAAGTGACTTTTAGTTTTCATTATGAAATTCCATATTCTTTATATCACCTTTTCAAACATAAATATTTTGATCATTCTCTAGGCATGTTAAGGGCACAGTAGCACCTCTGATTGATGTGTTTTAAGAGCACTTAAATGGCTTTTTGGAAAGCCAAATTTTGATTTGCATGAACATTAACAAAATCAAAATGTGGCTTGAAAAAAGCCATTCATGTGTTTTTAAAACATATTGGTCAGCAGGCACTAATGTGCATTTAAACAGGAATAAAACTAATTATAAGTCTTCTTTAGGTATGGGGATTGGTGTTGCAAGTGATGACCGAAGGCAAATTGCTCCTAACATAACCCCTGTCCCTCCTCCTTCAGTCAAAGAACTTGTTGAAACCCATCAGTCTAGATTCAACTGATCACTGTAGACAAGTGTCTGGCACTTAAAACAAAGTGCTCTGGTTAGGTGGAGCTCATAATCCCTGAAAGGCAGTCCACCTAGGAGAAGGAACTCTGATTACAAACTCCCGGACCTCAATAGTGAGTCAGGCTGTCCATACTGGATTCATTGAGTAAGGAGCAAGGAGTAATTTTAAAGAATAAAAAAATCAATGTCAATACCAAATGTTGTGCTTGAACATCCAATGCATTTGATAACTTGTCTTATAAGATACTGTTCATAAAAGATTTAACCCATTGACATGATAAAGTCTTTCATTTGTCAGCAAAATTTGCTGTGGTTAGTAGACAGAGAAAGCTTAAAATAAGTTTGAAGCAATTTTGAAGTGCAATTTTTTTCTTCTGTTAGAGTGAATAATCAAGCCACGCAAAGTAATGTTTCCTGTAATTTTGCTAAAACACATATGCCAAAAGGAGAAAATCAAAGTTTCAAACGGGCCTTAACAGGTGTGAATTACCCATGTTCTGTCAATATATTTAAAATGATCCTCCCTGTCATGGGGAGATAATTGCAGTAAAATGGATTAATGAATAATAAAGTTTCCCTCAATGATCAATAACATAACAAAAACATGTGCAACAAATATTTACAATCTAGCAGGTTGATACCCAGTGTATATCACATTTGGAGAAGGATATTGTCTCTGTATTGCTGTAACACAACAGCTTGGAATCACTCTCCTGTTCCGACTTCCTAACCGTTGTTGCCAGAGTACGTATTGTCTGTGAGCAGCATGGCAAAATTTTCATTGTTTCTAATATTATTTAACACTAAAAAGTCTTCCCTCCAATGCATGGCCAGGTCCAGATCGAACATTTCCATCAAGTACTAACTGTGGGAAGAGAGGGCTATTTTCCAATTGTGTTGGCATTGCAACACAGCATCCACATTTGCAATACTCTGAGGCATTTTCTGGGTTTTCGTAGCTGGGTCTGGTTGAAGCGGTTCACCTGGCAATTCACCATTTACCAAATTGACAAATGCTGCTGGCTGATGCTGTATAAGCTCTAGAGCAAATGCTCTTCAAAGGGCAATTAAATCCATTGCTACCACAAGAGTCTGAAATGAATATATTTATCATTAATTAAATGCAAAAACTCAAGCGCAGTGAAACACAGATATTTCTTACCACCAAATTACTGCATTTCACACCTATTGACCTATGTAGACTAGACAGGTAAACTTTTTTTTACATAATTTGATGTTTTACCCGGCAAGGATATGCATAATTATGTGGGGTATTTAATAAAACATGAAACAAATGTGTGTTAAAGCCAGTGGTTAAAGCTTTCAGAAATGTATGTCTGCATATACTCTTGGCAGGCAAAGTATCAAAATATGTAAACAAAGTTTACCCAGCTATTGTTAGATAATCGTTATCCTTTGAGTGAACTATCACAGTGAACAACATTACATATTCTCAAATGAACCATTGCTCAGGCAATTTTTTGCGTATAAACTAACGAAACATATATAAACTAATGAACCAATACAATAAGATTGCATGTGAAGCACGTTTATAACGAACAGTACGTAACTAATAGCAATAATACAAACTCACCATCTGTCCTATTGTTCATACATGTATTAAACTGATCCTCTTCGTGGCACGCGCTTGAGCAAAAAATACCCATACTTTTGCAGGGACAGGAATTTCGCCCTCTCTATCGAAGACAGAAGCTGGCGCAAGCCGCGAAATGAACATATTG